CCTGGGAGTCTGAAGGACTTCTAGGTCCACTGGTTTTGATGTAACCTGATTTTTCCTCGTTAAGTCTAATGTAACCATAAATCCCCTGGTTAGTGTATCATGCCTAACCTTGAATTCTCTGTCTTTACAGTATCTTTTCTCCTTTAGTTTAGCCTCCGTCTCTCTACTCTGTCACTAATTCTTGTTGCTAAATTTCCCAGCTGTACTTATAATAATAAGCCAGTAATATTGTAAACTGCATAGGAAATAGCATCCTATGTCTGTCTTACTGTAATAATTCTCCCACATGGCTAGTCTGCCCTCAAATGAAGAGTGTAATCTAAATGTATACTTGTCTGGAGAGGAAAATGAAAAGTCTGAGATTTCTCCCCCAGGCAAATTTTTACTCTCTATAATTTTTCTGAAAAATGGAAAAAGGTTTATGCCATATGACAGTTTTCTAAATCAGGAAAAAAAGTATGTATGTTAAAGAAGCTCAAATAATAGCTGTGTTACAATCTTGTTATCAGGTATTTTCCTGTATCTTAGGCTGTTATCTTCCCTTCCTTTCCCTTCCCATTCTTTCCCTTCCTTTCCCTTCTCCTCCTTTCCTCTCCTTTCTCCTTCTTTTTTCTTTCTAGCAGAAGTATAAAATAAGCCCACCGCTGATTGTCCTATCTTGCTATAGAAAGATCCTATGCAAATTAATTCTAAAAAGTAATATTTGATAATGATGTTATGCCAATCTCAGAATTTTTAGAGTTTTGTCTTACAATTTTTGAGTGGCATAAAACAGGCAGTCAGTGTTCATGAACTAATGCCTTTGTATCTTCTTTGGGGAAGATATTTTTCAATTATTTGGCATTTTTTTTTAGTATCATCACATTCACAATTGATAGCTTTCATGTTAACACTGAACAGAGAGAGCTTTGTAGAGAATACTGGCTTTTTTATGCAAAGCTTCCAGTAATACTAACTTCTTTCATAATGTTTGTGATGAATGAGCTGATTAAACTAGATCCTTGTTTAATATAATTTATTAGCTAGAGAAATTACCGATATAAAAAGAATCTTTGGTATGAAGAATACAGGAAAGTGGCAGTGAAAATAGGAAGTAGTAGGATGAATAAGGTGGAGTTTGATATATTAAGATCTTTAAATATATTCACAACAACAGATTAACAACTACATTTATTTATGATTTTTTTTTTCCCATCTGTTTCTGATTTTCTCTTCTAGCTCTTTTCCATCTGCTTTTGTCTTTTTAGGTAACCTTCTTTGTTATAAGGCTGGTTCAGTTGTTGTCTGAGTATGGAAAGGAACTAGCTCTTGGACATTATTTTAATCCAAATAAATCAAAGAGCATTCTACACTACATACATGCAGTTGCATTAATATATGAGATCCTCTACCCTATGTTTTGCTCCTATTACATCTATAACATCTGGGGGAAGATACTATGGCAAGTGGCCATGTTTCCCTGAAATGTTAATTGTCTATTATACTATAATTCCAAGACAAAGTCTACATGTTATGTTAAGTCTATTATGCTGTATTTCCTGTGTAGTTGGCCAAGGGTTTTTGTTTGTTGTTTTGTTTTTGTTGTTGTTGTTTGTTTTTGTATTTTTTTTCCTCCTGAGATACAACAGAATTATGTTGAGAGCTCAGGTTTGAATACTCCTCAGTCCTTAGTGGAGTTGAGGGTTTAAATTCATCCATAATAAAGCAAGAATCTTATATTTCTTTATGTGTCACAATTTTGTGTTTTTAATAGACACCTTAGCTTTTCTTCAGCTTTTCTTATGTTATGTAAAGATTAGTAATTGCCGCCAACAGCCATAACAGCTAAACCGAGAGAATTGTCTGTGTTTTGACCTTTATACAACAGGAAGACAGGAGGTTAGAATAGGACTTAAAACATTGTGATACGTTTAAATCCCTAGGGTCTTTCTAGTCATGAAGATTCCAACATTATAGAAAAGTAAATTGCTATCTTAGATTTTACTTTGTCAATCTTATTTGTAGAAAAACTGCTACTTTCATTTTTTATTACTTTAGTTTTACAGTTACTTTCTCTTATTCTTCATTCTGTCTTCTTTTTTTTTCCTTACTGTCCTTTTCATCCCACCTCCAAACCCCCCAAATCTCTGTATCAATTGTTTTCCCTGAAGTAAGCAAATAAGGGAGAGACGATAATTACTTTGCTGATCTACTTGACTAGTGTTTTCCCTGTGCAGACAACTTATGTATTGACCAGCATCATAAAATCTACCTTAGCTTCAAATTGCTGCCAGTAGAATTGCTGGAGAAATTGCTACCATGCTGCAGGAAAGTCTACTTGTGACCCATGGGCAGTATCTACAGTTCTGCCTCTGTACTGTCCTCTCTCTGCCTTCCCCTATCTTTTCCATCTTCGAAGTATTTAAGAACGAAATATTATCCAGCAACCAAGTATAGACTGCTTTCTTTCTTACATTTATAATTTAGGGAAAGTGATAAATCAATAACATGGAGATTCTGAACATTTTCATTCTTCTCTAGGAAAAGTATGAATGTTATAGGTCATAACCTAAAAACCATCTTAAACAGGGGTATTTATATTAAAGGATTTGCCATCTATTTTGAGTACCCATGGACTAGCTGCGTGCTTTTTCATTATTTCTTGAACTTCAATTTAGCACGTGTTTTTCAAATGACCTTGAAAGCATATTGAATTTCTTTGTGGAATCTTTAAGCCCTTTGTTTCTGAAGATTTACTGCAGTGTTGGTCCACTGAAGGCATTCAGTCTACTTGAGAAAGAAGACTTAATTTCCCAACTGCCAAAGAAATAGCAAACTTCTTCAGGTTAGGGATGAAATGTGTGGCAGCAGCATAGTGTGTCTTAAGGTATTTTTAGTTGTTGGTTAATTGAAGGTATACTTCCAAGACCCTCAAAATCAATAGTAACTTAAGGTTTACTTGTAATTTATTTGTTATTAAAATGTCTTGCTGGAAATGCTACTGTGCTGTGGGTTTATTTCCTTTCTGAAAGCTTTACCAAAAAAAAAAACCCTACATTATTTTGTCAAGTAGAATTTTATGCTGTCTTATATTTCAACCTAAACTTTATGATTAGCTTAAATGGTACAAAATGGAAGACAGACAGACACACAAGGAGTTAGGAAGGCTACTTGTATTTCTCACTTACGATACCGAGCAATATAATTATATTCCATTACCAAAATGTCACTGTGCTTATTCTCCCGGAATGATTCACTAATATTATGGGCAGGATTCTTTCACGGAGCTACGGAAGACCTATTGATCGCTTGAACCTTCTCAAGGGTGTTAAAATGCTCCCTTAGAAGTGCTTAGTTCTTGTGTCTCCCCTCTGCAAAAATGACTTTTGTTCTGCAAGAGTAGAGGAAAAAAAGTAAAGTTTTTCCACTGTATTTCAGCTTAGTTGCTATGTCAGCATTTTATATCTGTGTCATATAGATTAAGCATAGCTTTAGGAATATAACTTCAGGGATACTGTGCATGCTTGATTTGCAGAAGGGGTTGAGCGGGGTCAATAGATACTACCTGAATCTCTTCCAGTACTGTTTTTCAAATATCTGTGGTAATCAAATGGCAGCCTATGTAACAGGCAGAAATCAGCTCTTAGATGGAGTACACTGCGCAAGTTGTGAAAGTGGGCTAGAAAGCAGGGATTTCAAGTGCTACAAACAGTTTTTGATGTTTTGGATTTGTTTGTTCTGTGAAATAGAAACTAGATCTTACCCAAAAAAAGAGGGGAGAGAAAGGAGCAACCTTAGAGCAGTAAAACACTCGAAAGAGTGAGAGCATCACGATAGTGTAACCAAGAGCACAGTATTTGATGCTCTGCTTGGAAATACTGATCTCCTTTATCCAAAAAAAAAAAAAAAAAGACTGGAGGCTGTCCTTAATTCTGTCCTTTAATTAAGAAACCTTCTGAAAGAACTGATAATTTCTGACAAAATATTTTTTATAAAGTTCCCAGCTAGCTCTAATGAGTGTTAGTACAGTACTTCACTGGCAAAAAAACAAGTTGTTCCCATGTAATAGGGACTCCTGATTCTAAACTGCTCTGTGAGAAAAATGGAGTTATCTACACTACAGGTCAGCATGGTGTCAGTACTCACAAACTAAAGTACTCCAAAATCAATGGAAACATCTGTGAAACTTCCCAAATTAGAAATAATAGGGACAGGAGAATGAACTTGACATTGACAAAATAATCTCAAAATTTTGTTTTGGTTCTCAATAGCTCATATATATGAAAAGATTGCATGCCAGAATTCATAGGTGCACATAAAAGTTACACAGTGACTGAAGTATATATAAATTTTATTTTTGTCTTGTTAAAAACTTCATTTATTAGTCAAAGCCCCAACTTGGCTTTCATTTTAGAAAGAATAAATCACCATTTTTCATTGCCATAAGTCTGAAACTCTGAATTATTTCCTTTTTTTTCTGTTGCTGATGTTGTGTTGAAAATGGGAATTGAGTTGTAGCAACCTGCAATAATAATTCAATACTATTCCAAGTATGTCCTGTTAAAATAGATATGGTTGGCAGATGCTCAACAGAATGTGCCCAAGACTTACCTTTTCTCTTGGAATTCCAGGTTTGTTTTAACCTCATACAAAAGAGTCTTCTAGGCATTTAAACTTGCTATGTCTTTCTGCTTGTTTGTTTACTTCCTCTTTTCCTCCTGAAGTAGTTCATTAGTATTTAGTTCTGGCTTAACAATGTGAATTAATGTGCACAATTTACAAATTTTTGGATTTGAAGTATTGTAATCTGGAATGGCAGTATTATAGTTTGAAGAGGGAATGAAGGATGTACGTTTACTTGGTGACATACCTATTATATTTATTATTTAATTAGAGCAGTCTTTTTACACAGGTGAAATGCATGGGTTTGTATGACAGTTGCTGTCTGAGTAGAATTTTAGCAATAGTGTTTCAGCATTTTTGTGGGATTTGAATTAACTAGAGCCATTGTTTAATTTCAGTTCGGAAGACGTTGCATTGAAGATCTTTTTAATGATTTCCGAGATGGACGAAGACTTCTGGAGCTCCTGGAATGCCTTACAGGCCAAAAACTTGTAAGTGCATATTAATACATATACTGTACATTGAAATCATGACATTGTTACAGGTGTAGTTCAGTTTTCCTCATAAAGTTCCTCCATTGATGAGGACCTGTGGAAGCATTTCTAAAAAAGACAGATGAGTTTGCTAACCTGTAAATGCTAAAATGACACTTTAGCGTGGTTGAACATCCTCCCTTGCATTCCTGTTTGGGTTTTGTGGGCTTGCAATCTTTCTGTGAAATTTTCTCATGAAAGAGTAAGGAAACAGGCTGAGAGCCTGAGAGTCAAAGCCCAGAGAGGATATGCTTGTAAATATTACACAATGTTAATCTTTTTGGTTGTCATAGTAATGGTCCTAAGTTGTATCGTGGAGTAGAAGACTCAATGTAATAAAAACAATCTACATTTATCTGATTTTTTTAAATACATTTTTAGATCTACTCGCTGAAAAATGTCAAGATACCAAATTAGCTCCCAACTGTAGATCCAGTGTGTTCCATAATTATTTTTACTTCATACTGAGAAGCTACATAAGTACAATGTATTATAATAATCAATACTATCAGAAGTGTATGAAACTATGGGTTTAATACAAATTTGGATTATATACAGTGTACTGTCTTTGTTTTACAGGCAAAAGAAAAAGGCTCCACAAGAGTTCATGCTCTGAACAATGTCAACAAAGCACTGCAGGTTTTGCAGAGAAATAACGTAAGTAATCAGCAGCACAGGGCCGGAACATCCTATAGACAGTTTGCTTACTGCTTTGTAACTGTTGAATCAAACTCTGGCAACAATGCACAATTTCAGGAGTCAGGGCAGTTTTATTAATGTGACTTAGGTACTATACAGGTTCTGCTCCAGGATGGAATATATTTCAAGGAGTTTCAAAGAGTTCACATCTGCTGAGAGCAAAGGCTTGAATAATATACCTATAATGAATGCTATTTGAAGACTGATCAAAGTGCACAATCTTATGTTAATGTGTAGTATTTAAAATATGTTTTAAAAGGTTAATTACAAGAAGTCATCCATAGCTGGTTAGGGGGAGACACCTGTCAAAATTTCTACTCATGAAACTCTTGAGTATTATGAAGTACCCCAAATTGAGGGTTTTCTTAAATATTTTCATTGATGTCTGTTCCTTACAAGTCATAGCATTAAGAAAACAAATGAGATCAAAGCCACTCTTCATACTGGAAATATTGGAGTAAATATTCCCATATCTTCCTTGTGCAAGCATTCTAATAGACTCATAACTTTACCAGACATTTTCAGTGGCCACCTAATTCTATTGTATCTCTTCCTCAAGAATAAATTCAAGTAACTGTAACATTCTTTTAAACTTAACACTAAGGTGTGATGGAGCAGTGATAATGTATTCTGTGTCACATATTATATTGAATTTCTTGGTAACTGCAGTAGGTCACTAACTATGCTTGAGTTCAGCTGTTGAATAAAGTCATTGATTTTATAAATCTAAGGTAATGCTTATACATCTGAGGATTTGTGCATAAATGAAAGTGACCTTACAAAACTGGTATGAAGACCTCTAGCCAGAATTTCATTTTAACAGAATTTTAAGTAAATAAAATACAAAGTTTCTAATTCTTCAGTGTCTGATATCACTTCAAAAATTCACTGATAGGTTATTTGTCAATATGCAAGACTTCTATTGCATTTCGAGAGTACCATTAAAAACTTTAATTGTAAATGCTTTTAAAAAATATGTATTTACTGAATATCAGCTAAATTGAGTTATGTGCTGTTTATTCAGTTTCCAGAATACCACTATAGTCCCTTTAAAATGCAGAAAAATGTAGAGCACATTTCAATTGAGTATTACAGAAGAAAAAATATATTTCTAGAAAATAGGATGGCCATCTAGCTTGTCATCTTTTTCATATATGAAGATTTCATCAGCAATCCAGAATACTGTGAATCAAATCAGTATTAAGCCAAAAGATCTACCTTTGAAATAGATTCTCCAACCTTCAAAATTGCTTCAAGAATGATTTCTGTGGGACTTCAGAAACGCAAGATCAATGGGTCTAGGGCTATTAAACACCTCTGACTCATCTAGATTTATCTTCTGGCCTATGCCATCCTTCCTCCAAGGATCCTTGCTGCAGTTAGCTGGGCTGTAACAGATTGAGAAATGCTCCTGCTTCCAGTGAATCCGTCTGACAGGTTTCCTTTCTATGGAAAGGTGATAATGTTTTGGTGGGGGAGGGAGGTTACCCCAATATGGAATTGTACAAAACTGAGACAAACTGGTGAGTGTTCCTGTGTGTTAGGAAAACTGATGTAGTCTCCGTGAATTCAGGCTTCTATTTCTGAAAACTGAACACATAAGTGATATCTTAATGAACTTATTAGTGGATCAGTTACTTGGATGTCATTTGACATTTAGGATATAAAGTCAAAGTACCACTTGGGAAGTGTTCCAAGAGACTTCTCGCTAGAAGGAATCGCAAGTCATATGTGCCGCTAGTAATATCTGATTAATTCCTGAAAAAATGAGGAGTTAGAGAATTTTTAGAGTTCTTGACAGTATGTCAGCTTTGAATGTGATTAGTAAAAATGACCTATCCATAGATGCATAGAAATTTTAAAAAGAAAAGCCTTGTTTTGGCTTTGCCTGCAGACATAACTTCAAATATCTTCAGAAGTACAGTGGAGATACACAGACTGTAATTTTACAATAACCGTGCAAAAACTGGTGACTGTGTAAATCTTTATAAAATCTTAGTTCTGACCATGAAAAACTGCACCTATGAAACAGCAAGGATGCAAATTTTAGAGTCAGTTTCCATCCTAATGTGCAGGTCTTTCTTACCTTCTTCTTTCTTGCACAACTCTCAATTTGGCATTTGTACCTAGATAAAACAAAAAGCAGGGAAGGGTGAAGGATTATTTCATATGTGGAGGAAAGAACATGCTAGGGGGACAAATGCAGATGTATTATGCATTTGCAAATGCATAATATAATTTTGTAAAGACAGCATTACTGAACAAAGTAATGTGGAAAAGGCTTGTCTAGATTACAATCATTGTTTTCTCTGTACTGCAAAACACATCCTGCTTTGCTTTATGTATTGGAAAATGTAATAAGAACAAAATAAGCTCTCTTTTAATCTAATTATATAGAATAATACCTTGGTTCTGTACATCACTACAGAGTTGTTTTCTACAAAATATATTATGTAAACCAGGTGAAGCATGCAGCATGTAACATGAGTTTTTCTACCATCCTTTGGTTTTGTGTTTTTTTTAATGGTAGAGGCTTAATATAAAAAGTTTTGAAATTATTACTAACTGTTTTATTAATTGTATGTTTTCACAACATGTTTGAACTGGAATAATTGGAACTCCAGATCACTGTCTGTTCTTTGTTTTTTACCAGCATATTAATTGTCCCATTTATAGAACATGATTTTTTTTTTATGAAACATTAGAAATCAAATGAGATATGTCCTAGCCCACCCCTCTTTCCCCTTACCACCTAAAAAACATATGTTCAAACATACGTTCAAAAACATATGAAGCTAACATCAACCTGTTAATATAGCTCACTAGTAATCTACTACAAATATTTTTTGGTTCTTTAAAAGGTTGATTTGGTAAATATTGGCAGTTCGGACATTGTGGATGGAAATCATAAGCTGACCCTTGGTTTGATCTGGAATATAATCCTCCACTGGCAGGTGAGTGGCATTGCTGCATGCACTTCCTGAAATGCCTTTATTTTGCTCATCTTTTTTTTTTCCATCATTATGCAAGCACAGCCTAGAAAATAAACAGAGACATTGTAAATAATATAAGATCATCTACAAATCATTTATGACTAAATTAGCAAATCCTATGGTAGTCTGTTTACATAGTTTTTGGATATTAAGAATCTTAAGAAGATAAAATTGTATTGGAGCATTAGCTCTTTGGCTTTCATTTCATTGAGATGTTGCAATAGTACATACAGTACTAAAATGAATAGACAAATGACAAAACCAGTGTGAATATACGGTTTTCATAGTGACTCGTCTTCAGTCACTCATCTTTTTTTTTTTAGTACTTAAAAAGGGGTGACTTTCATGTTTTAATTAAATAATATTTGTTGCTTTTTCATTGCTGCCACGCTATGCTGGCAATTATGGTTAAAACACTAAAAAGCTGCTACTCTGACTGTTAAGGCTAGCAATGTGCCTTATTTAGCTTCTTTTCTCTTTAGAGAGAAAGGGAGGATTACGATACAAATCTTGTAGGAACAGACATGCTAAATAAGGTCACTTAAGTAAACTAATTCTGAAAGCTGTAAAACAAAGTTCAAAATGAATTAGTATCTATGTTCTCTGAGCCTGTGTGTTTGTATGAGACTCAACTACGAGTCACTGTTTGTGCTGGTTCTGTCTCCCAGGCAATAAGTATTATAACCAAAGACAGCGGGAAACAAAACTTGAGAGACCTTATATTTAAAACCTATAAACTCCTCTCCAAAAATATATATACACATAATTCATGGCAGTAGGAGCAATTCTTTTCTAATTTTATATGGGTTGCTGTAGTGAAAACAACAGAGAGAAAAAGCTTCAAAGCGCTTGTTAATCATCCCTATTGCTCACTCCCACTCCAGTATTTGCTTTGTTTAAGGGAAAACACTGCTCTAAATTTCTTACTAAACGCAGATAAAATTTGAAACTTCTACCAATAATAACTGATTCACTGTGTTTCTATTTTTATGAATTATAGATCGGCATGAGAATTCTTTTATAAAATTTGTATTTTTATTTGTCCACAAATAAAATTCAAGTCAACTGTTCAAAATATATAGTAATGCTTTAGTATTACCGATACTGATTAATTTTTCTTTCAGCTTATCCCAGCATTCCTCTTAAGGCATACTTGTGCATATACAAAAGACAAGCATGGTTACTTTCTGGTATAGTCTGGTGAGGTTTTTGACCACAGGCATGTACTTTTAGAGTACTCGCTTGCTTGCAGAACTTTGGTATTTTATTCGAAGCTTGATCTTGAGCTTACTGATAGCTATTACAGCAAATGTGATAGTACTAGTCAGTCAGTTGAAGTACTCGTGTATGGAAAGTTCAGGGACTTCAATTACTTACTAGGCATAGTCATAACAATTCGGTCTATGTTGCTTCATTTTCATCTCTTTACACTGAAAGGAAGTGACTAGTATGTTCTGGACTTCTTCTTTTATTCAAAATTGTATAAGTAAATTTATTAATTTGATAAAATTTCTTCCAGTTTCTTTTCCAAAGACAAGATAGAACATGGTTTACATTATTATGTTACAAACATGTTGCTGTTGAAAATTTTTAAAAATAATGAAATGTCAGATTTGATCTTGGCCTTTTATCTTTTTAGACAAAAGTCAGGACATATTCATGTCCTGCCTTTTTCTCTCCAAGGACAGAAACACTTCAAAGTGAATTTTCATATTTACAACTTTGTGAAGAAAACTTCCCTTTCCCTTCCCCCTTCCCCTTCCCGCTTTCCCCTCTGACTTTTCTTTCAGGTTTTCAAGTGATTTACACAATTTAGTTTATGTTCCTGATTATTCTACCACGTTTATAGGTTGGTACTATGGTAGATCTTTACAGCACTTACGGTAAAAGTCTATAAACTGCTTAAGAAAGCAAAGGATGAATTTTTGTGTGTTGGTACCATTTTGTGTACCACAGATTATTCATGGAACTAAGAAGTTACAAATTTGACCAATTGTTGTTGAAGGCTAATTTACACCCCAAGAACCAACAAGATGCTTGCCAGTGTAGCCAGGGCTGTGGTTGATTACATTTATTTCTAGTGTGTAGGAGCCCTGAAAAACAATGCACAGACCGGTTGATTTAGTGCATGCTAGTGGTGCAGTTTGTGCTCGACGGTGCAACCCTGCTTCTCCAGATCCTTTCGTTTCCTGATTCCAAGAACTTGCAGTCCTGGGAAGAGTCACCTAGATGAATTATTTCTGTATGCCTGCATGAAGCAGGTACAAGTTGTGCCGACAGTTAAAGAATTTTATTGCAGGCGATCGGACAAAAATACTTCTCCACTCTCACATCCATCTGTCTGGACTGCATTAGGGCAGAACTGGGCTTCTTTATGACCACGGGACAGTCTCTTACAAAAATGTCAGTCTCTCAGTGTGAAATATAAGCAAAGACGTGGTGGAACAAAGGTGCTCAGAGGGAGCAATGAGACAGAGCTGGCCAGAGAGGAGACGGCAGCCCCGGAGGATCGGTGGCCACAAGAAGCAGTGGCTGCGGAGGCTCTGCAGCAGACGAGATTTGTCGCCTTGTTGCCACTCTCTGCTCCGCGCACTAGAAATCTCCTGGCTTTCAGTATCCCCTGTGGTGATTCTGTCCTTTCTTGCCTAGCCTGTTTTCCAGATTATTATTAAAAGTTCCTCTCATATTGAACCCTTGCTCTGAGTTGAGCACCTGCTACCAAAGCTCTTTATGGCTATTGCAGCTTCCATTGCTTTGAGGCTGCTGCCCTCTCTCTCGCAGTTCTGTGCTCCCTGTCTCTCCCCTTCATTAACATTTGAACAAAAACAAATCATTAATTTCTCAACTGTTACATTTGACAAAGAATATCTGTACAGTGGGAAAAAGCTACATTACAAACCATGTGAAAGGTTTTGTTTTATTTATTTATTTATTTATTTCCCCCAAATAAGAGCAAATCCTGTTTTCAGGGATAGGATGAAAAAAAAAAAAACCTTAACAAACATCTTTCATAACAAATGAATGGCAGCCCAAATCCTGGCTTTCTTCAGGAAAAAGGGAAAATAATAAGCATGTATTTCAGAGAGATGCTTTCCAACAGTCATGCATGGAAGGCTGTTAAAAGCACTGGGGCTAGCGGCGTGCTTGTTGCCAAACTGCTGCTTTAACTGGAGTTACCCTTTTATTTTCTCCTGTATTATAGCGGTGGAGAGAATATCCTCACAGTTCTCTCAAGCCACCTTGAATCAGTGGGCAGAGAGCATCACTTATTTTGATGGGTGTCTTGAACATCCTAAAAAATACTTTTAAAGAGTTCTTTAAAATGTCCTTTGAAAGACTTTGGAGGATTATGGCTATAAAAAGTAACCTGTACAGTCAGAAAGCCTGAAATATAGCAGGTAAAAAATGCTAAGTCATTCTGTCAGGGAGCTGTCGGCCTCCTGTGTGATTGAGGGAGATGAAAACACCTTTATGCTGTGAATAACTTCTCCAGAATCTTTCTTCCTACTTTTCTCTCTCCCTCTCCTGTACAAGTAGTAACCAGAGCCCAAATGCCAGCCTTGTAAAGTGTTTGGCATTTTGAGCCATCATCGCAAGTGAAACGGATGTGATGCAAACTAATTTAGTGATGCAAGCTTCATACCGTGCTTCCCCTTGCACGTACAAGGTGGCTTGTTGTAGCGGTGGAGTTTTTCTATCATTTTTCATCAAATTCCTACGCAATGAGGATTTCAGGAGGAGATCAGACCATTTTACGGCAGTATTCTAAACATTGCCTGAGATACAACCAAAAAAACATAAATTCACTTTCTCACTATTGCAGAGAAAATGCAGGAAAACAGGACTAAATCTCCCTTTATCCATTGTCAAATAATTAAATTGAACAAGGGGAATTTTAAGGAAGCTTGTATCAGTTTATTCAGAAATAGAAATAAATACAAACTTTTTGACTTCTCTTTCTTTAAAACAGAGGGAATGCTAATTACTCCCTTTTTTTGAGTAATTGCCCTTCTTTTGAGGTTCTGATGTTTTACCTAACTTTGTCTCTAAGAAAGTTTTTTTTGCCACTTTCTTTTCTATATTTTCTGATTGTTTTGTATTTTAACTTCTTAAGTTTCTGCTTTCCTTCAACTGTCCATTTATGTGGACATTTATGTGTGTTATATTTTTCAAGTGTTACAGTTTACTTATTATATTCAGATAAATCTACATTTTTAAACACATGCATGTGATAAAAATCTGAATGATGAAACCCAGGTTAGAACAACTTTCCATAGTTTCAATATTTTCTTTTCAGTCTTTCATATGGATTAATTTTGGCTGATAATGCTAGATGCTGATCTTGAAACTTTGCTTCTTCTTTATAATCTGGATTCATGAAAACAGAGTTCTGTATTTTCATAGTGGTCAAAGTTTTTCTTGTCTTGAAATAGAGTAAACCCATCTCTTAGCTTCTCTCTGAATTATATAAATTATTTACTGTGGGAGTTATCTATAATAAGAATATTTTCTCCTGAAAATATTAACCAGAAATTTAAGATATCCACACAGATAAATAAAACATTTAAAACTAAATAACATATTTCCTAATTTTTATCACTGTCTTTCTCCAGGTATACAAGCAGAAGAATCTGTAGAATATTATCTGGCAATATTTTATATTCATTTTCACTGGTGTAAATTACAATGTGAGATGAAAAAGTCATGGATTTGTCCCAAGAGTTGTAGAGAGGATCAATTTATTCTCCCATCTCAAAAAAGATAAATTAACTTTCTGTGTAAGCCTCGAAAGGAAAATTGAGATACTCATATTCTTTTTGGTGCATTTGAGATATAAAAACAAGAAATTCTTTTAGTAATTCTTATCTTCATTCAACAATTACTCAAATGATTTAATTAATTACTATTGCACTATCAAGGAACATATACTGAACAATAAACTGACATCTGCTGTTTTTCTACTGGATCATAGTAATTAATTTTTTGTTGTCGATTGTCCTTTGAGATAATAGCTTCTGCATATTTCTTACAGTCTTTACAATTTCAAAGTGGTCCTATCATGAAGTTGCTTCTGTGCTAAATATTGTTCTTCCACTGAAACCGGTGATGAGCAATTCAAGTGCAGAATTACAATGAACCAATATATTGAATAAGCAACTTTCTGTTAAAAGAGATGCTAAGCTTAAACGTTTAAATTGAGAAAGCAATGACTTAAAAGAGAGCACTTTAAAGAAAAATACTACTATAAATTTTGGTGCTCTTTGGCCAGTAATGAAGCTACTATGAAATTTGCAAGTGGTTCTGCTAGGTCAAATTTCAGACTAATATTTTTGGAATCCCCCTTAGAGTTGTTTTTTATAGAAATTTAATTGTAGAGGGATGAGCTTTCTCTAATGAAACAAGAATAGCAGCTAATATGAAATTCAATTCAAGAAAATGAACCATACACAATGTTCCTTAAGTGTATACAATAATATTATTTTATTCAATATACACGTATATTCACTGAAATGCATGTATGAAAATATGGGGCATGCATTTAAGTCTGAAGCATAATTTACTGTTCTCTGAGCACATATGGTTTTCCTTAGTATTTTTTTCAAACCTGTCAATATGAGAAGAATGGCTTTCCATCATTTTCTTAGCTTTTCTATAATGTATCCTCTTAACTAAGGATGTATTTGCCAAAAAAAAAAAAAAAAGAAAACCACGAGGAAAAAATGCTTATTTCAAATGCACTCCATTCCCATAAATAATGGATGTAAATGTGCCTTCCCTATTTCTTCACAGAACACTTTATGTGTCACAGTGATGAATGTACTGAATGCATTAGCAGAGATGACCAACAAGTCAACATCAGTTGTTTTTAAAAAGGAAGAATTCACTGCTATCATTACACTGTGACACCAAGTAGGCTCTGTAATCGCATAGGAAGTTTTTCTTTAAGGCTTAAATGCAGGCGGCTGGAGTTTGGGGGTTTCAAAGGAAAAGTCAGCTTTTAATGAATTAGGGCATCACTGCTAAAATTCTGTTTTTTGGTAGGTCAAAGATGTAATGAAAAACATCATGGCTGGATTGCAACAGACAAACAGTGAAAAGATTCTGCTGAGCTGGGTCCGCCAATCAACTCGGAATTACCCACAGGTCAATGTTATCAATTTCACCAGTAGCTGGGCTGATGGATTGGCTTTCAATGCTCTCCTCCACAGTCACAGGTAGGAAAACTGCCTCTTGTTATTTTGGCATGCTTCTAACAGAGGGCCCTAGGAGGGCTTGAAAGTGGTGTGGCTATTTTAGCTGTTTTTTTTTTAGTTTTAGCGTTTTCTTATATGTGGATTATTTATTTATTTATTTATTTATTTGCTTTGCTCTGACCATTGTGTCAGATTTAATCTTCTTAGGGATAAGAGGGTCTGAGCTTTCCTGCAGAGCAACAGGAGGTGCTTAGCTCAAATGGTTTTCTGGTATTTCAGTGAATAGATCGAGGTCTGAAGGAGGAGCACAGGTGTAGAAACTTTTGAAAATAGTAAGGAATAGATTTGAAGTCAAGCCTTTGAGGTTGTCCTGTAGGGAAGAGGAGATTTTTGTGTAGGAACCTAGGAAAGGAGTATGTTTATGGAAAGCCTCTGATGGTTGCTGGATTAGAAGAAAGGATTTGCCTTGAAAGGACAGAGCAGGAAAATGTGGGCTTGTTTTCCAGACTTTCATGTAATTCACCAGCTGATTTGAGTTTTATCCCACCCTGAAAAATGACCTTGTTCTAGACTATGCTATTAAAAATAATAATAATAAAATAAATTTAGAAAGGTTTCAAAGTCCTTTGCTGGTTCTGTGCTTCAGGAAAAGGTGCAGGCAGCCTATCTTTAGGACCAAATTAGTAAGATTCCTGCTTTTAAAACAATATTTATTTTTTAATGTTTTAAGCCCCTGATCCTTTTTTTTTCACCTTTGATAACTCCAATACTTCTCTTAAGGGGAGTTGTCCTGAAAGGCGGCCAAATGATCTAAATTATTAGTGAGAATTGAGTTTTTGAACAGATAAATTGATAAGAACAGCTAAAGAGATAAATTTAGTAAGGGATTACAGAGGCTTACTATATAACAGTACATGTCAAGCAATATCCTAGTTTTATTTTGGTTCTTAGTTGCATTAAATGCTCAAAGTCAGGTAAAATACTTCTAAAACACAAACTGAGACAACATACATCTTCCAGCTTCTAAAGCAAACAGCCACAGGTGTTTCTTTCCAAAATTTTTCACTGGCTGATGTAAATGTTCATGAATGAAACTGTCTGATAAACTGTCCTTTAATACTCCTAAAGCTAATGACCTCATGATGTTGATGCAAGTGCTTATGCAGGTATTTGGGTAACTGTGTTTGGGAAGCTAAATAAGAATAAAAATACATTGCAGTCAGTACATCTTTCCCCTTATGGCTCATTTGCCTCTTGGAAATAGTGTCAACCAGGTGAGTTGCTTGGGCAAGCTGGTCCACTCTAAACATAAGTATCTAGGTATTTTATGTGTTCTTGCATGTCAGCTTTCTGTCAGGTCAGATTGATCTTTTGGTTGCTCTGCAGTCCTGTGATCCAGTACAAGGGAATAAATCAGGAGAGCATGCACCTAGGCCTTGGCAGGCATGAGGAATGAAGAGCGGGGAGGAAGGGAACGACACCGCTTCTTGTCAGCGGAGTCCACAGTTAGCACCGTATTGGATAAAATGTTAAACTGCATCCTGAGGCTGCTGCCCTAAGTGGAAATGTCAGTCTATACTGGATGAATTGACCTGGAAAACTTCATCCTTAACGGGGCTCATAAGGGTATGGGCACTTCATACTTCTCCATCACTGCTCACTACATCTCCAAAGCTGCCCTACTTTCCTGATGGTGATTGCTTATGGGGATAAGTTGCTATGAGAAATCAACCACTTAATACTGTAATAAAAAAGCTTATTAGCAGGCTGATAAAATACACAGTGGCCATAATTATAGCATGATATTTTTAGATATATTGACTTTTACTTTGGTAAATATACAATAACCACTTAATTTGTCTACCACTGAGATAGGGAATCAAAACAGTGATATTGTATGATCTGTAATACTGCTCACTTATCACATCAAAAGGTTGCTTTTAATTGAGCAAAAGCACTGCAAGTACTTGTTTGAAATATTTGTAACTCATTTGTAGAATAATTCACTAATGACACATCTAAGACTTATGGTAGATAATTGGAGAAGAGGAATGCATATTCTCAATTGTGCATACAACATCTTACAGTTTGTTTTAGATGAAAGCTCATACAGGAAGGTGAGTTTCTGATTATTTGGGGAGAAAGCAATTCATGCATTTGCATACTTTCTTAACAGACTTTCCTGACTTAACTGTGAAAAACAGTCTTTAGTGCAAATAGTAGCTAGTGCTTTGATGCTGACATCTTTGAGTTCAGCTTTCAGCTTAGCCAGAAACACTAGCATTTTGACCCTTAGTTTGCAACGTGTGTGCCCAGCCTTCATTATATTTAGCTGCCTTCTGGAGTCAGGCAGAAAGAAAGGTCAGCTGTAGCTGGAAAACCTAGTATGATGATGAACTCAGATGGTGGGCTTGGCTAGCATGTGTTTCCTAGCAGCATGGAAGTAATTTGTTTTTGATGGCAGTAGAAGTCAGTCTTGTACAATATAGGGATACTTTCTTTTCTAAACTCAGTCCTATTTAATTTGCTTACAGAACCAGTGCTATACTATTATGGTATAATGTTAAGGATGAGTCTTGACATAAAGTACTAACCTGTTGAGATCACTTGCTATGTTCTGTGTCTAGTTCCACTGTGTATCTAAATTGCACTACTAGTTTTAGAGTTACTTCTTTTTCTTTAAAATGTTTCAAGCTTTCTTTTTTTTAATATAACTATATCAGAAAGTGTTACACTGTCTTCTGTATATTACCACAGCTGAGGTTTTAGCTGAGTGCTCAAATTTTTAAATTGTGGTTTACTGGAAATAGATTTAATTCACATCCTACTTCCAGGAAGCATTGCATACAGTAAGCAGAAATTTTTTGGATGTGCAGTTTTAATGTATTTTCAAATAAATAAAATAGTTCTTTTGCAAACCCAACTGTCTTACAATTTTGAACAGATAATGACAAATATTCTTGAAGGAAATGCTGATAAAATTTAAATAACAGTACACACTGTATACTATGTTTACAGTGCTTGTTGCACCTTTGAGTCATCCTTCAAGCAGCTTTCATGTTCTGTCTCAGTTGATAGCCTCTGTTACATTTCTGTTGCAGTAGTTTTATCTGTGGACATTTTTTTTTGACTTCAGGAAGAGAGAAGAGTATCAAGATGAAGTTGACTGAATAGATGAAGATGGGAGATAAATTTATCTCCTGGTCTTGATGTTAACACTCTGTAATTGATACTAACTATGTGTATTCCATCTCTCCATCTCATCTTAACAAAACAAACCTCAACCCTTTTTACATTATGTTTATGGTTTCTTTTTATGTATACCATTTCCTTATGGATTCAGTTAAATAGTATTTACCTGTTTCACCAAGAAGTGCCAAAATACAGTTATGGTAGACATTACATGATAGAAATTACATTCACCAGAATCCATTCCTCCATTCCTCACTGTAAAACAATAAACACATTTTAAACTAACTATACCCTTTTGTGTGTGTGTGTGTGTGCGCGCCACTGTTAAATTTTAGGTACCTGTCCTACAGAAACATCTTGGGTAGCACTAAATCATCTGTGTTCTGGGATGAGATGCCAAAAACTCAGGAATAGAGGGCTGGGAAACTAGGATAACCTTGCTGAAGTCCCATGACAGCATACCTGTGCAAACACAAATACTCCAACTCAGAAACTCTCTAAGATCCTGATAGCTGGAAGACCCATTGAACATATTATTTTCAAGGAGAGGTTATTAACTTCATGTGCACTACTGGTATGATCTAGTATAGTTCTTTTTACATGGATAATAATGAAATAGGTACAAGTCTTATAAATAAAGTAGAACAAAATCAATCACTCTTTATTTGGTGATAATTTTCGTTCTTCATAAAGGGTGTTTTCTGCGATAGGTGCTTTTCTTTTAATTTTAATAAGTTCAGAGATTAGTGTGGATGAAAATTTTCAGTGCCTTCTTGAAGGAATTAAAAGCAAGTGAGAGACTTGCATAATCCACTGAACATGCAGACATAATGTGCTGTAAGAGCAGTACTCTCAGTGGGAGGAATTATCTCGTGTAGTCTTTTAACCCAGCCTTCTCTTGCTTGTTGCTGGCAGGTTTGTTTTGATCAGTTATTTCTAATGCCCTTTCTCTGGTCATTTTTCAAGAGCCTACTTTGTGTAGATATTCCCACTCGTGTAATTACCATCTATCTAGGGATACTTATGCACAACAGCTATTGCTCTCCTTTTAATATCGCGTGTGAGAGGCAGTGGAGCTCAGGGTGCTTAACAAAGCTGCAAGGGCATGTCGGTGAGCCCAAGGTGCAAATTTTCAGAATAATAAAGGTAAGCTTGGGGTGCATTTCCATGAGCGGTATGTTCTATTTTGTACTGAATAAACAGGACAACAGCTGTGAGGTGGCATCAGCTTCCAAAGAATATCAGAAAAATAAACTGTTGTGGTAAGGAGAAGTCCATCCTGCTACTCTTGAAACTATCCTTGCTTCAGGCTCTAGATCACAGACCTTTCTCTGTTAACTTAAGGTAGTCTTTTTGCATCATATGGGTCTCAGAAAGATCTCTGCCTTTCCTGTAGCTTTACTCAAGCTATTTCTGGCCCTTTCAAAAACTATATATTCTTTTAAACTCGTTATCTTCCTTCTTGCTTCTTTAAAATGCTTGAACTTAGACCAGGTAGGCAACTGTCTTAGAAATCAGCACTTCACTGCAGGTGTTTCTGCTTCAGGATTATAGATTATTGACCGGAGAATTAAAATTGGGTTCATTGTTGCTTTTGTTTTTTTGTTGTTGTTTTTCAATGTTATTTTATGTTACTGGCTGCAGGTTTAAGTGTGAGGAAAGAAATGGAGATATCGTTCTTGTATAAGAAGATAAATTTCTTGTAGTCTTGGAGATTCTTGTATAGACAGGGCTAGCTCAGTCATGAAAAAACAACTTTCCTCTTAAAAAGGAGGCAATAATTTGTGATTGTGCCTTGTCTCCACTTACACTTCCAGAAAGTGTGAGTTAAATCTATAAGTTGCTTTTTTGCTAATTACTTTGGAGCCCCTTATAGCCTGTGCTAGATGTTAAAACTGCTTAAGGAAATGGCCTGTTATACATGGATGGTGTGGGCTTATTTTGTTTGTTTTTGTTTTGTAATGTTCATAATTACCATTGGAAATATATACATTATTTTTTTAACTGAAAGCTATGCAAAAGTTATAAAAGTTGTTTACTTCAAGGCTTGTGGTAAGCTTCACTTAAGAAATGCTAAAGAGATGAAAACAATAAGACTATAGCAAAATATTGTGATGTGAAAGCATCTTTAAAAATTCTTACTGCCTTCCTTCAAAATTCTCCCTTTGAAATATGCTGGAGCGGGGGTGGAGGAGGAGGAGAACTTAGTGATTATACCAATTCTGATTTCCTCCTTATTTCCTCTGATTTAGCATTTTTTGCCTTAATCTAGAAATGGAAAAATTTATTAGACATAAAAATTAGTACTGTTACTAGGTTTGTGTTTTGGCTATAAGGTATGTCTGACCAGCTTTATTCTATTTTGTTTTCCTTAAATTCCTTGAATCCTTACATCTTAGCAGAATTCATCACCTCTCCGGGATTCACTGCCATACACATTTTAGAGGAATTATTAATTTCTTGCCTCTATGGAAAAATCTAATTTGAATGAATGAATGTGTGTGAAGTTGGTAAAGAAGCAGGCTTCCAGAAATCCTGTTTTGTTTTTTCAGTGCTTATGAACTCCTTTTCTTCTGTCTTAACTTCTATATCTGCACTACTTTTTTATTATGGCTTTAGAATTAGCTTTTGGGTTTTGGCGAAGAATTAGTATGTGTTCTCTGAGGAAGAATAAGAATAGGCCTTCAAGAATCTAAGTTTCTCTTAGAAATCTGCTTGGATTTACTGAGTGTGGCCATCGTCTTCCTCTGAGACTTGTTGATTGCTTTAAATCTGACGGTCGCCTGTTGCTTTTGTGCTGGTTGTGATTGCTCTTCACTATGACTTTAATTTCCTCCATAGCATGGCTGGATTTTCTTGGCTTGAAAGTTCTCCTCCGGTTTGCTTCTCTCACCTTGACTGATCTACTGCTATTTAAAAAAAAAAAAGCTTTATATATATATATATATGTACATATATATATGTGTTTGTGTATATACATATATATATAACGTGAGACTCAGTGTACCTTTTGGGTTTTACAGTATAAAATTTCCAGTGGAAACACCAATCCTTTCAGTTTTGGCTCTCTGAAATGTTCTAAACCATGAAAAGGTCACTGCTACTTGAGCTAATCAACTAGTGGGTTGCTGGAGCTCAATGTGTTCCAGCTACTCCTGACCCTTTTGAACGTGCATCTCCTCAGGAAGAGGAGTGAACTCTGCTGCTTGTGTCTGTTGGGCTCTCATGCCTGCCAGAGATGAACCAAGCTGCAGACTTGAGAACAGATTTCCTCTCCCTTGGTACCATTTGAACAACAGAGAGTGAGCAAATCAAAGGTTTAAGAACCGTTATTCCCTTTGACATCACTTTTTTTTTTCCTACTGTTTTTTCACACCTGCTTACAGCTGCATTCAAAACTCTTTAGCAAGCCTGTTGTTAGCTGAAACTCTGTTTTGATGTTTCAGGGATTTTTAAAAACTGTTTGCCATATTCCTCAGTCCTTAAAATCTTTTATGCTCTAATCGCTCTGGGTGTAGTAGGCGGCAATATTGCCCCTTAAACATATTATAGATAGCAAGAACTGGAATTCTCCGAGACAACTATAAAAGATAAGTAGGAAGTATTCTTCAGTAAAGTACTGACTGCTTTCTTAAAAATTCTTTTCATATTGTAAACATAAAATGAGAGTGGCAGTAAGTAGCCATATATTTTGAGTTGGCTTGGAATTGCATGTCAGCCCTGAGAGCATTAACTTAATCAAAAGAAAAACAATGCAAAAAAAAAAAAAGAAAGAAAAAAAGCTCGACAAACAACCAATCTGAAAACTCTTCTGATTCAAAAGTCATTTAATTGTCCAGATTTTCTTTTTATAAAAAAAAAAGAAAAAAAAATCCAGTATACACACTTCAGGGACTCTATCATTACAACATGAATTCTTGCTCAACAAGAGCAAATCTTTTATGCTGTAATCTCTCTGGCTGTAGTAGGCAGCAGTATTGCCCGTTAAACAAATATGCAGTGAGATATCTGAGACATCATACCGAGAAGCTGCCATTTCAAGTTGCTGTGATGATACTCATGTTGTAGACTACTGAAGAGCACTTAGTACTTTTATAGTTGTCTCAGAGAATTCCAGTTCTCGCCATCTGTAATAAAGATGAAATAGAGAGATGCTGTATATGTGATGCATACTGTATGCAGACACATAGGTGACAGAGCTACTAAGCATGCAAATTCAACCAAACTGTTCTCAAAACATTTTATCCAAAACTTCTTTCTTACTTAAACTTCTGTATGTAAGAGTGCTTGGGGGTTTATAAAAAGAACCGTGTGTCCTCTGTGTCTCTTATACCAGGATGGGTTGCTAATAATTTTGGCCTGCCTGGATACATTAACTTCAGATTTGCTTCCTGTATTATGCAATGGAGAAGGTTAGATTAAATTGAGTATCTGTGATATTATCTATAATGAGACAGAGACTTCTCAAGAGGAATTAGACAATACCATCCCATCCTTCAATGCATAGTACTTTATGTTACTACTTTTCCCCAATGGAAAGGTTAGGAGTAAGCGTGTTCCTATACATAGTACTTGGAGAACCATGGCTGTTTTGGTGATGTCTAGTTAATATGCTGCTCAGAGCAAGACCTGTGTGACTAAGACTTCAAACCAAATCATTGCAAAAATATTTTGGAAGAGGAGGTACCTCAAATGTCATCTTTCCTTGTCTATAAACTTTTTGTCTCTCTTTTCAAATCATTGTCTCTATACTTTTTTTTTTTTTGAGCAAGACTTTCTTGTAAAATTTAAGAAGTCATAATATAGCTCAATGATTATTGTAATATTCCCTTGGTAGATTTATTTGATGAGCTTACGCATTCTGTACTATATGCAAGCCAGAGTATTACATTTGGAGAGAATAAAGAAAGAAGGAATTTGCATATATCTGTAGAGTAAGATGTAGTCAAAGAAAAAAAAATGTGTAGACATAATTTGTATTTTGAAAATGCCTGTATTTTAATGCATAAACCATAGTCTATGAAACCACAGACTACTTATACTCGTTACCAGAAAACAATCACCTTTTAAGTTTTCTCTGCCTTCCCCTTCTTGCTCTCAGGAAAATTTAGTATTTTCTTGCCTTTCTGCATACAGCAAGGAGAAACTAAAGGACAGTACCGCTACTCTTAATTAACACTTAAGAAACTCTGCACAGAGAAGCAGAATATTTATAACTTTATTTTTGCTATGTAAATCTCCCCTCTCTTCAGAAGAAAACAGAGAGCAAAGGTTGGCAGCTGGAAAATTACTACCACGTATAGCATTTTTACTTTGCTGTCTTCAAGTTATTGCGGTATGATGCAGTCAACATTTTTGTCACCAATTATAACTATGGGAGACTGTTTAAAACGAACATTTATAATTACTAAAAATGTAAGTAAATCTTTCATAACTAATTTCATAACAGCATTTTAATCAAGTATGTAGATAACATACTTGATTTATCTGTAAGCAAAATTACATATTTAAGTGCGTTTTGATTTAGAACAGTGTCCAAATCACATGGTGTAGTTCTTTTCCCTCATATTATTATGTGCACATTACAGAATACTTGATTAAAATTTTCTTTCCCCAGAATGCTTGATAACAAATTCTGATTTCTTAGTGTATAAATATTAGCTGAAATGCTAGTAATCGCAGTGTATTAACATTATTTATATTGCAAATAGTGCAAGTGATAATGCAAAGTCTTAGATTGTATATCTGAGCTATAATTTAATTTTGTTGGCTTGGTCTTCTCCTATAGAAGCATTTACATTGTGCTTAAGCTTCTACTCATGTCAGTTAAGCTATGATGAAACTACGTTTCCAGACTCATCTGAAAAGCATGCCTTTCTCTGAAGGTTAACTGATGTCTACATGTGTCTACTAGTTGTAACTTCTGGAACGTGTTGACAAATTTCAGTCAGATATGAGAGCTGGAAACCTTGGCAGCAATTATATTGTTTAGGACTATGTTGAAAACCTACTATCTGGAGGGCAAAGGAAGGCAGAAGAATGAGCTTAGCAGTTCTCTGCCCTGCCTCATGTGGTAGTGTTGGATATGGAGGATTACAGGATTCAAAATCACTAGATACTAAGCTTCTTCAGTCCCAGTGTTGATCAAGCAAGCTCTTTGTTTAAAAGAAAATAGTAGTCACTAATTCTGATGGATAGTGGTAGAAATATGTAATTAATATCATTTTGACAAAAAGAAATTGAAATTAAAAAAAAATAACTGTTCCTTTTATGTTTGCTTTAGACCAGACCTATTTGACTGGAATGCTGTTGCTTCTCAACAGTCACCTGTACAACGATTAGACCACGCATTCAATGTAGCCAGACAACATTTGGGCATAGAAAAACTACTTGATCCTGAAGGTTAGTATGAATGATCTTCTTTTCTCTAGATAGAAAATAGTTTTTTCCATGCTTTTGCTTGTAAATGAATTCTAGATCCTTGCACAAGCATTTAGCATTTTGAAAGGGATCATAAACTGAAGCAAAATCCTTTGGTTATTTATGTTTTAATGTTAATGATTGCTATTGAAAGATCATAAGAATGTCTTATACGTGCAGATTCTACAGCAACTTTTTTCAGCCTTGGGCCAGAGTTTTAATATGTGTGCACTGAAGGTAAGCTGTCTCAGTAACTGCCTGATATTTGTTTTAAACATTTAGCACATCTGCAGCTTTTATATCTTCAAGATAGAGCATGAGTTTGAATAGCCTTTTATTATGTATTCAAATTCTGAATTTAAATTTTAAGTATCTTAAAAATATTGTTTTTATATTTTCTATATATGAACATTTTGTTAGGATTACCATTTTGAAAATTCACAGACAACACCAAGCTGAGATGAAGAGCTGATATGCTTGAGGGTAGGAAGGCCCTACAGAGGGATCTCCGAATAAGGTTCAACAAGGCCCAAGTGCTGGGTCCTGTGCGTAAGTTACAACAACCCCACACAGCGCTACAGGCTTGGGGCAGAGTGGCTGGAGAGCTGTGTGGCAGAAAAGGATCTGGGTTTGCTTGTCAACAGCTGGCTGAATGTGAGCCAGCAGTGTGCCCAGGTGGCCAAGAAGACCAATGGCCTCCTGCTCGTATCAGGAACAGTATAGTCAGCAGAACCAGGGAAGGGATCATTCCCCCTGTACTCAGTGCTGGTGGGGACTCACGTTTGATACTGTGTTCTTTTTTGGGCTCCTCATTACAAGAAAGACACTGAGGTGCTGGAGCGTGCCCGAAGAAGGGCAGCGAAGCTGGTGAAGGGGCTGCAGCACAGACCTTAGCAGGAGCGACTGAGGTTAGACATTAGGAAAAATTTCTCCATGGGAAGAGTGGTAAAGCATTGGAACAGGCTGTCCAGGGAAGTGGTGGAGTCCCCATCCCATTATTTCATCTCACATTTTAGCTCTTAATTGATATACATACTAATTTGGGGTTAAATATAATCATTGGCTTAGGTCTGTAGTATTTTTTATTATTGATATTTACTGAATTAGGCTGAATCTCAAGAGAGATTTTCAAATTTTCTTTTTTCTCATGTACTTCCTTTAGCAGTCATGTTTGGAAGGATCCTCATTTTTCAAATAGTCTTGTTAATTTTGTCTCTTTCTGTATATCCTCTCCCCTACTTATTTTCTTTCTGAGAGGCTAAATACTGTGAGAGACAAAACATTTCCAAAACATTCTTCATGACTAGGTGTTGTTGAACAACTATTGTATTGACTTTGTGGGTATACCTTTTTAATTTCCACCATCCTTTTCTACTCTGTGATCTGTGCACTGTGTTTTCATTCAGGTTTCTACGATTTTGCCCATTATACCAATAATGAATGCAATATTTTCATATGTATGTTATATTAGTACTCAGTGGCAGACCTAAAGGTTAATTTTGATGGCAGGTAGCAGGTTTTAATAATATAAATGAATGAGTCTAAAATCTAGTATCAAGTCTCTTAATGTTTAACTATAGCACTGTGTATAGCAAGATTGTGCTACTACCCTGTATCTGTTCTATTTGTACAGAGTGATTACAGGAAAAACCTGTCTGTTTATGCTCTAGTTGAACAGCATGAAGTTCTCTGCTCCTGTGCTTGAACATATGAACACTACTGCTCTCTAAAGTGAAAAACTGTTAGAGGAGATGTTAGAGGAGAGATATTTGGCACAGTCCAGAATTAGAAGAAGAGAAGCATCACCTTGTAGGCAGCTCTCGCATTGGGAGCAGCAACTAAGATTTCAGAGTCAAAGAGGAGAGGACCTGCCACCTCAGTGCTTCAAGCTTAGTGAGCTTCTCCTGTGTTTCCTTTCAGTGTGAAGTCAGGCAGTTTCACTTAGGCCAGCAAGGTATTAGCTGTTTGCACTGCAGCAGTACTTTTTAAAAACAGTAAAGAAGTGTTTGCTAGTGCATCACTTTCCATTGCAAACCCTGAATTGTTATGGACCATCAGAGTAGGGACAGGCTTGGTATGTGCTAAAGCTTGAGTTGCAGCTCATAGGCTCTGAAGGAGCTTGGAATTGAAAACTTGATCGTACCACTGAATAGATATGGCTGCAGTCTGTGCTATATTTGGCTGAACTGTCTTAAAATTTGTTAGCGAATAGGTTATTTTCTGGTTGCACAGATCACTTTTTAATTAGACATTTTATTCTGGTTTTGGCCAAGGTATTTATTTGCAGTTGTTTAGCCAACAGCTGAAAAGCTCTCCAACATTGGTGTTTTTCCAAATGTGTTCTAAAATTATTTGCTATTTAATGTTGTAGCATTGTGGAGCTTACCACCTATTTTTTTTCTTCTCTAAATAAAAAAAACTGCAGATGTTTTAAAAAGAATAATGAATTATGTACCTGCTTATAATGAATTTGTTTAAGTACAGCAGTTTGGTTTGCCAAAACCTGCTGATTCCCTCTGTATTAAAATCCATTTGATCCTGCTATTTGTAAAGTAAAATTAATATCTCCTTTTTTTCCAGATCAGTGCATTTTTTAAAAATCTTTTTGTCTGTCTCTGATTTTTAAATCAGTTGAACTATACTAGTCTCTTTTCTACCTTGTGCTGGAGGACAGTTGTAGGTAATTCTCAGGAGCAAAGAAATTGGTCTTGAAGGTGATAATTTGTCCCTAGAATGGTATGTAGAATTACTGGTGTACCAATAAATGAGGAACTCTCTGAACACTACAGAATCCTTATTCTGTAGTTTTAGTAGGTGTATTTGCCAACTCTCCTCAAAATTATCTTAATTTACTGTATTATAATACACAGTGTTCTGGCTGTTAGTTCAAAAAGACCTATAAAGCACCCCCAGAGTATTAGTAACAACAAAAAAGGAGGCCTACATTCAGTGATGAAAAATTACTTTAACATAACTTGAAATTAATGTGTCAGTACAGTGTGCGTGCACACACACACACACGTAATCCATGAGCTGCTTTTAAAATTGTCTTGCTAATTAAATGCATTAGTTCTGTTTTCATAGATTGAAAATACTGCGAGGGAGCTGCTATTTAATAGTGTGACTTCCCTGCAATCACATGATATCAGAAAAAAAAAAAGGACTTTTTTTTAGATTTTTTGTTTGTTTCTGTTCTGAAATCAGTGATCTTAGAGAGCATATCTTGAAAGAGATGAATGGCGATTCAAGTTTAGCAATTACATTTTGAAAAGTGATTTTTTTTCCGTCAGCCAAATGTTAGCTCACTAGGCCGTATATGAAGTTGAAAGTTTGTTTCCAAGTCATTGATCATGAGTAGCTATTAAAACACTGTTTGTGATTTTCATCTCTATTTTAGGTACCAAATTGGTTAAGTTATAAAGTACATCTAAGAATTTTTGGTAAAAGTGGTGTTCTGCTTGACTAACAAACATGTTTAAGTGGAAAAAAACTCTATATTTTGGGTTGCAGGAAATTATTATTTTCTTCATTTGTAATTTTGGTGATGCATGCATAGGTTTGGGGTTGCTTTAGGATGCACAATATAAAAATTCTACTTAAAGCAGGAAATTCGGTTATCCTGCTCAGTGTTTGTACATTACTTCGCTTTATTTTAAGCAAGTACGTAATGAAACCTGCATTAACCATGTTATACTGGTGATGCAGGCATCTTAAAATACAGAGCAAAAAGCTCTGCATTTCCTACAACAGACTAATTCTGGGCCCTTTTTTCTTTCAAAAAAAGTATTGTATAAGCAAGTCCTGACTCTGACAAAATTAAGTTTGTTCCTGTTTGTTGACTTACCTTTTCTAGGAAGCTTGATAATTAAAATGACTTCACAGAGTAACTTTACATCATCAGCTTGTTTGTTTGTTTGTTTCTGTTCTGAAATCAGTGATCTTAGAGATCTTTTTTTTAAAGTATTGCTCTAAATAAAATTAGTTGTAGGGTTTTGAAACCTTTGTTATTTTAAGATACTACCTTTGATATTAATTCCCCAAATAGATGATTTGTTTTATGCTGCATATGTTATACAGACCTCTTCTGCGATCATCATTTTCATAATACTGGGGATAAATTTGCAAACAAGCTTGTCTGCAGAAGTAAAATACATATGCTAGATAGCCTTTTCCTTTTGATGTACAGACAGCCTAAGTGAGAGTGCTGGCCCTGTTTTAGAGTCAAAATTTTAGAAATACCTAGTTGTATATTTTTTCCTGATGTTGAAAGGTATAAGTGTGGCTGTGGAAAAACATGGAGGGGTCAGGTTTTCTTCTTCCTTCTTTCTTTGGAAGGTCTGAGGAAAGTCAACACTTTCTTTTTGATTAAATCTTGGTAGTGAGAGAAGTGGAAGCAGCCTTATATCTTGTGCTCACTGCAGCAGTAGGGAAAAAAAAAAAAAAAAAAGAAGGTGAGGCAAATTGATGGATGGTATAAACTGCACTTCAGAATAATTAATTAAGAGCAAAAGATTCGTGGACAGGATTCTAAAGTTAAAATGTTTTTGCAAATTAAACTTTTTGGCTAAGGAATGCCTATATTACAGTCCTTTTGCTTATAACACATTTTTGATTATGCTGCTGAGATATTTAAAATCTTGTTAATACTTTTTTGTGATTTTGTCAAGAAGAAAAATAAAGTTATTTCCCTTTGCGTGTCCAGAATTAATATTTGTGAACATCCAGTCTTATTAGATTCCACTCTATATAACATTCAATGAATGTTGCCTAGACAAGTCACTTCAATATAGCAATTTTTGCTCAGATTTCAATGGCAGAGCTAGCATGTTGAAAAATTGTTCTGTAGTTCAAAGAAGAAAGAAAAGATTTCTAAAAGATCTCAGTGCAACTAACTTGTGAAAAAGTCGAACGGGTTTTGTGCACTTTCATGATGACTGTTGTGGAGTTCTTTAAATTTAATGCCCATTAATGCCCAGCAGCTC